TAGACCACACAGTCTCCATAAGAATTGGTCCAAAAGGCCCGTTCGTCTGCAGACCAGTGCGCCACAGAAGACCAGAGCAGGGGCCAGTTCAACAGAGTGTGAAGACGCCTCATTTTAAAGTTAAGTCTATAGTTCATGCAAACAAACTCTGGGTTTTTCCTTTGCATACATTTTAGTGACACAATCGAACATCCCATCGAATAATTTTCTGATTGTGTTGATGAAGTGTGTATGTGCAGGACATACTGGTATCATTAGCAAAATATAGTGATGACAATATGAGTGCTCTGAATGGACCCTGCAACAGCACAACAAAACCATGAAACTAGAAGTACAGCAGGAACCCAGACAAATCCCTCACCTTGACAGGTGAGCTCAGACCAGAGGCAGACGACGTCTTCGGAATAAGACCAAGACGTTGGAGGTATGCCTGCAGGTTTCTGCTGAGCTCCACCTCCACTGGCTTCACCCTCTGGTCTACTGGGTCCATCGCTTCAGCTATCGGCCTGCAGAAGAGGAATACAGGAGTGAAGGGTGGAGAAAAAAAGAAACGCACACATCAGTGTTTCAGAGTCAAGTGCAGCCATATAAACCTTTCTCTGCAAAGACAGCATGTAACTGTGTGTAAATGGACAGCTATTCCTGTTCTAACCTAATAAATAAAAAAGTACTTTACAATTTTATATGGCATCAGGAGTGACCACAGAAAAAATCTAATTAAACCAAGGGTAGCTTCATGAACCAAATTAAGAGACGGACTCGAGATGGAATCACTTAAACACCAGGTTTAGGCTGCACAATATTTGTGTTAGATAAGATGAGTGTCAAAAGACAGAATCATAGAGTTAAATTCTCGCCTGACTTGTTCAAGACCCACCACAGACCACATGTTGGTCCCTGTAGTCCACTATTATACACGACACACGATAAAATGATGAAGCTCTTGGTTCAGAAGAGGAATCTTTTGGTCCAGATAAAATATGTCTGTGGCAACTCCTTTGTTCCCCAAACCATCAAACTGTTCAGCTCTGAGCCCAGGGGGAGGAGCAGCAAGGGGGGAGAGGTGGAGAGTGAGGGGTGAGGAGTGAGGAGTGAGGAGAGGAGTGAGGAGTGAGGAGTGAGGACATCGGGGTGAGACAGAGCATCACGCTCCATCACCAGACTGTGTGGGATATTTAGCCACTTTGGCAATTTGTTACTGTATCCATTGTTGTTGTTAGTATTATTACTACTATTGTTGTTGGTACTGTTGTTGCTGAGGTAGTGTTGGTGTTGTTGTTGTTGCTGGTGCAGCACTTTCCCTGAGGCTTCCACCACAGGGATCAATAAAGTTCTATTCTATTCTAATATCCACAGATGACAGTCGACTGTGAGGGATAAAGCTGGTAGATAACTGTCTGCTGGTAAAATAAATGCTAACAAGAAAGGAACAAGAAACTGAGTCCAAGTGGTCATTTGTTCAGAAAACACCTGTACACTTTTCTGTGTTAAAACACACCTCATGGACTTTTGTAGTGCGTATCTCCTGCCTTGTGTAGCCACAAGTGAAAGCGTGGTGACAGTCTGCATGTGGTGTACAAGCTCTTAGGTTCAAAATAAGGCCCTCATTACTGTTGTGAAGCTGTCTAGCTTGCATTAGACTGATACAACAGCAAAGTAAGACCAACCTGCTGTGAAAGCAGCAGGAACAGTTTGTGGGACACATTGCAGAGCTAAAAATGTGCAAACTGGGTAAACGTCTGACCTGCTGTCTGCATTGTAGACAGGCGAGTTCTGCTGCGGCCTGTAGGGAATCCTCCTCAGCTTGGATAACTCCTTGGACAGGACCTGCTGGGTGTCGTCGTCCTCCCAGGTCAGACCTACAGACAGAAGCACAGGGAAGCTTCAGAAGCACATCAGAACATACAGGAAGTCTGGTGATCTTCACATCTACACGTGTGTGTCTCAGGTGCAAAGTCCTAATTGGATTCTTAATTGAACTGCACCAGAATGCTGACAAAAAATGACATTTATGCATGAAAAAAGCCAGCCGACACACGGTAAGTACGAAGGGCGAGGAACTGCTGAGCAGGCAGCAGTTTCCCTAAACTCATTAGGTCACTCATTAGCAGAGCAGGCGAGGCAACAGTGTCCTCAGAGACTCTGCTGAGCCACCGACTGTTTCAGTGACTAAGCAGAAACCATTTCTCCTCCTCCTGCCACAGTTCAGCAGCACAGGCCAGAGGAGCAACTGGGAAATTCATATTGCAGGCGTTTACTTGAGCAAAATTCACAATGAACAAATGAATTTATATTTACAGAACCACTATAATAAAGATGTGAGAGCATGGAGGTGGAGGGCAGAAGCAAGCAGGTCGACACGCTGCTGCATCATCAATGTTAATGTACAAAAAACACCAAACACAACAATGGTCCCCAGTGAGCACTTGTTTTTTGTTTTTTTTAACTTCTATATCAAAAAATGGTTTGAAAGTTCAAATGACAACTTGTGAAACCAAGATTACTAAAAGCGTTCACATGTCTGAAGTTGTTTTATCAGGTGACTGTGCAAAGTGACAACTCTCGCGTTATAAAGACAAAACTGGATGTCAGGAGTCAATGAACCACTGATGGTGAAGCCTGATTGAAGCGGCTGATGCTAATTTATGAAGTGAATGAAGTGGCTGAAGTGCTCAGACTGCAGCTTTATCATATAGCTATATATATAAATATAACATATTTCAGGATGGAATCACAAATTCAGACTTCTTATGGCAGGAGGGTTCGCAAAAATGTTGAGAAGTCAACCTTCAATACTCAAAATGAACACTATCTTTGGAACGACGTTTTCTGATTTTGGATGCATTTTTTATTCAGGAATTAAAAAACACGATCTCAAATTGCAAGCCACAAATTTTCTGCGTACAGATAGAATGAAAGAGCAAGATTTTCTGTTTTCTGCTGCATCCACTTGAAATAATTTTCACAAGGAAGTCAATAATAAATTGTTCTTTTGCTAACTGGGCTCATTCAAACTTGCTGGTTGGGACAGTAGAATTTTTTTCTAATAATGTCATCTGGTTTTTGGTGTTCTTTTATTTGCACGGCTTTGTTCTTTTGTCTGAGGTTTGCAACTTTGCAGGGACTCACCTGGTTAAATAAAGCTCACATGCGTACAGTGTATTTAAACTAGGGATGGACTGATACCGATA